AGAATGAAGAATGGCCTTTTTCAAAACAACTAACCCATATTTCTGACTTTTAGGTCGGAATCTCAGTCGAAGAATGTTACGATCAGTATCCACCAATAATACGTGATGTGTTCTGGGAAACGCCGGATCCTGAACCATTGCATACCGTTGAAAGTGCAATGCGTCCTCAAAATCCGCAAGTCGGCAGCTGCGTAAATATGTAAGAATTATATTGAGGAGATAACGGCATTTTCTATTTCTTTACTTAATTAATAGGAAACTACCCAAAAACTCATCGTATATGCTTCGCCCGAGGCGATCAACTATGACTGGTTCACGTATGTCAATTTGGGATGGGCAGATTGACGCAGATGTCGTACCAGTCGCCAATGATGATAGGTTAGTGGAGGGATTTCGCAGACGTAAGAAAATACAAAAGAAAATCTTTTAGACATAATCCTGAACCAATCAAACATTCAATATCAACATCTTCCATGAGCAATTTTATCAACAAAATCAAGAGTGGTGGTAGACGCATGAGTGAGCTCGTATTCTTAGTGTTTTTGCAATGATTACTCTGATTTTTAAGCAAAAAAAGAGTTTTCAGGTACTATGTCAATGTTCGCTATTGCAAGAAAACGGACTATTTCAAATGAGAGGAGGTGCATGGAAAGTCCAGATATGCTGTCAAGGTAAGTAGAAAAGGAAAAATTTGACAAACCAACTATAAATATGCATCTAATTCTAACACCCATTTGTAAAAGGTGATGATAATCAAAATTAAGGTTAATTCCTCCATCATCCTACAAAACGTTGCTAGCCTCAATTTCTCTTAGCTAATGTTTGAATAAGTACGAAATTGATATGGTACAGGAGCATTCTAGATGATAGCTAAACCAATAGCCCTGATTGTTTGATAAACTTTGCTTCATTGCTACCAGAACTCTCGTAGTTGGACAGCTACTGCGATTCCCTAAGCGATTCTACGAAACACTAATGTACCTAAAGTTACGGTACATTTCCACAAACATTCGACATTTTGTTCCGACGTCGCAACAAACTCCGGCCAAATGAGGGCACCTTTTGGATTAAATTTCCTTTGAAAAAAACTAGGTTCGAAAAAGCTTGGAAACAGTTTAGAGAAAGCTGGTTCTGAGATGGAATATACTAAGATGTAACGGGACGTGTATATTGTGTCTATTGTTGTAAACGCATATATTACAAGAAATTCTGCATTTAACCTCTAGGTACACAGAAAACACTGAAAATTCTTTTTTTCCATTTATATTATTCACCTTGTTATTATAGCCCGCTTTTTTGAAAGGTTAACTTCAGCGTGGCCACTTAGTATTCTAATCAGGGCATGTGCCCCAATGTGATGCATACAGCTATATTTGCATTTAGCAGTATTAGTACGAAACACGCTCAAAAATGTCGTATATTGGTAACATTGTTAGTGTCCAAATATTTCCACATAAGTACAATGACGCTATATGTCAGCGTAATTCGGTGTGGGTTCATAACCATTTTTTTAGAATTAGACAAAAGAAGGTAAAGCGTAAAACTGGCTCATCTCCATTTTTGATAGTGAGA